TGCGGCTTGTCGTATCGATTGATTGGCCGCGTCGTTAATCATCGTGTTCGGACGCAGTCGGCTGAAAAGCGAGCAGTTGCCGCTGGCCGGCTTGTCCTGGTTCGGCTAAACTCGTCCCTGTGACGTCATATAGTCCGATTAGGTCCTCCTGTCCAAGATTTCTGTCGATTCAGTGTGTTCTTGGAAGGTCGTCGTCCGCTGTGTAATTTGTTAGCTGGGTCATCGCCCGAACTTACTGATAAGATTAGATTGTTATTATCTGTTACTGCTGCGCTCTTTTTCGCCGTCATTTCTCATGTTTTTCGTTCTCTTTATCAGATAATTGTTGTAAATGTCAAGCGGAAATTCAATTTGAATTCCATAGCACCTTTCCAATGCTACGTTTTGAACGGAAATTTCTTTCGACTTCGATTGACTTAACTTTTTTATGATCATATTTCATATGAGACTGGGTCGAAGTTCAAACGGGAGAGGATGTAGAATTCTTTTCGGGATTGTTTTAGCAACAAGTCGCCCTGATTGGACTTTCTAAATCCATTCGGTACACAGCTTTAAAAGTGCTACCCAAGTTTATGACTGGGTTCTCAATGGGAGGTCCAGTAACATCGATGTAGACTTTTCGTAGACCGATATGCTAGGAAAAACGTGATCCTATTCTTCTGCGACCTCAGTTGGAAATAAAAAGCGTGGCGCACTTTTTTCCTCCCAGCGGGTTGGTTAACATCGATCACCACATGTATTTATAGTAGTATGGGAAGAAGTTGTCAATAATCATAATCCTTTGAGCCAGCTTTACCATCGGTAGTCCTCCAGCACCCTAGGGCATCGTTAGCGCCCAAATTGGAACTATAAGGAACTACATGGGGTATTTAATGATACGTAAACATCTGCAGGTTCCGCTCTTCCCCAATCATCTCCAGTTATGGAGACCAGTTGAATGACGAAATTCATTCAATCGTAGTGGCGTAATGGCCGGGCGTATTGGTGACTCACAAAGTCGGCTTGCAACATTGTCGGTGACGTTTCGAATCTGTTCTCTCATTCGGCGACTTCAAGCACTTATCATTCCTTGGCCCTTACCATCACACGAAATATTCGAGGCATTCTTATCGCGTTTCAAGCTTCAAGTGCATCAGAGCACAATATGGCGCCATTGCCAGTCCCACATGTTCACGGGGGAATTCGAGTGATCAGCTGCGCCCTGCTGTGCAGATGCAAATGGTACATTGTTTGTTGTTGACAGTTCAGTGGTGGTCGATTGGTCGATTGGTCGATCAGCCGGTGGTGGCGATGGTGGGTTTGAGTGGAGCAAAGCATGTGCGCAACACGTGTTATGTGTTGGTTTGTACCAGCCGCTGCAGTTCGCCTACGTTTGAGCGCTGCCGCCAAGTCCCACTGACGACTGGACGTCAGGTTTCCCTGACCGGCGGCGTCTGAAATGAGGTCGACTGGTCGCTAGATCATACCGCATGACAAAAGTTATTAGCATAGCTAATCATAAAAATTTGCATACGCCGTCTATTGATACCTGTCCACTGGTACGGTCAGCAACGTTGTTCTGGTCAATTGCTGGTTTGGGTTATCTCATTCACTTTATTAAGCCCATAATTCCTAATGTAGACTAATTAAAGGATTATTACGCAACGGCTAGGCGTACAGTATTCCTTTCGATATCCAATAGGATTAGAAATCTGCATAGGTACCCATTTCTTCCATCCCCTTTTGGTGCGGGTAATGTACCTTAATGGGTGCTACAGTTTTCTGTCGTGCACTCTTGCAGGTGAAAAAAAGTCAAGGAATAAAAACCCCCACTACGGCTACTTTGTCCCTTTGTCCCCCCCCCCCCCCCCCCCCCCCCCCCACCCACGTGGTTGTAGAGTCGTTCCACCCATCCTTGTTGGACTGAAAGAGCGCGTGGTTTCTCCTTGTCACATGTGTTTTCCTGGACGGTCTTCTCTAATCATTTTCCCCTTTGTCTTCAGTTCTCCTTATGCCTTCATTGATCGAGCAATCAGTTGATGTATCCACTGAAAGGCTTTTATGAACCTTTGCTGAAAACGGCAGTATAAGGCATACTTTTGATGCTGTTCACTGTCGCCTGTACTTCGTCTTTCTATACCTCACTTTTCATGGGATGATGTCCCATGATTTTCATGGGATGATGTCCCATGAAAAAAACTATTAAACTCATAAAATCCAACTGCGCAACTAATTTCCTATAGGTTTAGAGTGTCCTTGAATTGGTAGTAAGGATAGGGAAGGGCTTTTATCCTGGCAGATCGACTTTCCCTATAGCGCATCAATGTTCGCATATGTTGACCCTGATTAGTCATTTCTTATCACCTTCGAGGAAAAAACGGATGAAGGGATCCACCACCCTTATAGTGGCTGCTAAGTTTGCAGTGATGTCGTGCATGACCTTATCACGTCGCATTTGAATCGTTCCAAGTTTTGCAGACGAGAAAAACGCCGCTCAAACCGCTCGACCTGCATTGGCTTCGTACAGAACCGGCGAATTTTAGAGGTGAATTGCGCGTGGTTATGCGAAGAACGTGTACGCGTTCTCATTCCCTGCATATCGTCACAGTTCAAAGTCATTTTAAGTGCATTTTAGAGGGTATCAACATTTTTCTCGCCATTATCGTCCATACTTGACTGTATTCCATGCAAAACGTATCCGCCTCAGAGCAGTGCTCAGCAGTTCTCAAGTATTTGTATTCGACTCAATGACTCCCGGATCGTGTTGAGAAGGAAGTGAGGGAGAGTAGGGGAGGGGTGGTGAGAAGAGAGAGGGAGGGGTTTTGATTGCCCTGGGGATTTCGTCACATCTGAGTCACCCACAAATCTATCTGGAGAAGCTGGTTAGTGTTTCCATATTAGATCATTAATGTGACATTTCTCATATAAAGTCTAGAACTATTCGTTAGCTGAACTGCTGTGAGTTCATGGATTCATGAGACGATGCTAACGTGGCAATATCCCTTAGCTCCTAATGCTTTTTGTTCTCTGGCTGTTTTTTTTATGAAAATGCTGTATAAATTGTTCAATAGAAGTCCACAATATGCTTATCTGTCATTACATAATGTCTGAACATCCATTTTTTCTATTACTAAGTGGGACTTCATAGAGAAACAACTGGGAGAACAGAAACCATTCAAAATGCTCATCCGATTTTATGTGGAGTTGGCCATCTTTGGCCCATAACTGTGACATTTGACTGCTTCATGGCTCTCTTACTTGTCCAATACTTCTCCTCTAATAAGATTTGGGGTTATTTGGTTATTCCTCTGAGTGTCAGTGTACAGAAATTCATGGCACAAGGATTGAATCCGATTAGGGTTAAATACATTGACATTAGGCGGCTGCATTTTTTCTTAGGGCAATGGCTCAGAGTTTGATTGTGTCTAATATGTCTTTACCCTAGATCAAATCCGCTCAAAAGCTTGTATGGTTCTATATGGAATTCGAGTGCATGGCGCATCCCCGAATAGTTGATTGATGTCCTTCACCTCGTTCTTTTTTCGTACAGAATTGTGTCGTCCTTTGTCCTAGTTTCGTATCAAAGCTGAGCCTTTTGACTGAGTCGAAAAAAGACCAAAATATATTTCTTACATTCTGAGCTTTTCTTGTAGTTAACGGCTTTGAGGAAGGTTTAATCAGATTTTGGTGATAATCTCATAGTAATCTTGTTGCCGCGATTGCTCATTCTGGATTAGTCGGCCACTTTTTGTTCGATTGGGAACGCCGTTCCCGATGAATTCGTTCTGAACATGTTTGCAAGGGGCGATGGCTGGTGGTGGCGGCGGCGACCTCTAGTCACTTCCTATTTCGACCAACGCCAGCGACGTTCTTTTTCATGTCGTCGCGATTTTTGTCTTCACTGTCATACGCGCGTTCGACGACGACTTTTCAGTTATTGAGGGCATTCTTCTCTGCGATCGACAAAAAGTACATTGGCCCATATACCACTTTTTAATCGTTTTCAGCCATCGTCAAAAACCTCGTGCTGTACAGGTTCTCTTTCTGGTATTAAGTAGTCACCTTATTCTCTACTAGACTCAGCTGATATTTCCCGCTACCTCTGATAACTCCACTTCTCCCTCCATTTTCTTCACCTTTCTGCTTGTCTTCGAAAAGTTTTGAAATGTACCGAAATTTTATTATCTCGGGATTTTTTCAAGATTTCGCTTTTATTTCAGATTCTAACGACCGGGACTAATCAGAAGAGGTTGTTGCCATCGCAGCGAGTCTCTTCGGTTCCACTGCATTCTCCTCTCAGGTGTGTGTTTCCTCGTGTCTGTAGGTGTTTTTCCTAATTCGCCGTCTGTTCCGGTGTGCCTCTCTCTTCCGCCACCGATTACTCTCGTTCTCTGCGCTCCTCGGATCACGCGCCTCAGCACCAACAACCTACTGACCCCCTCTTTGTGACTTGTGCTTGACCGATTTTTATCGATTCTATGAAATCATCAAATTTTGTGATGCTTCAGTGGTAGGATGTATGTGAAATACCGAATTTTATGAGTGTTTTCCATAGTTCCTTGCACGAAATCTACTTAATCATTCAAATAACGCGCGCGTGGTGCCGGTCGCGCACCTCGCGACCCAGTTTTCAAATAAGGGTTATCCTCCATTTCTTGAACAAACCACTATCTCGCTAGAAATATTTTCAAATAAGCTTACCTATGTTTTTTAAGGTTCTCACCTTCTGGCAGTGTGGGCAACCTACTGTGGAATTAATCCGATTTCCTTTCTCTTAAAACTAAGCTCAACATGTTTAAGTCGGAGGTGTGACGGTGTGGTGGTGCAAGACATGTCCCCTGGACAAAATCCGCAACAACAGTACGGAAACAATAGTTACAATAACAGTATGGCACAGAACGGACAAGCACCACCATCAAGGAATATTTTCCAGCAATACGTGAGTATCCTATTATTTGTCATCATTACCAATTTAACCTTACCTTTCCCTTTCGTGGGGGCAATTTTTCTGCATTCTTTGTGCCCTTACCGAGAATATGTTTGTTCAGAGTACTGGACGACCATCAGGAGGCAACAATAACATGTATAGTGGTGGCATGCGGATGAGTGGTGTCGACTCTCGAACGACATATGCGCCACCACCTAGGGACGATACACCGCTACAGGATGGAACGCCGCTAAGCTCGGTAAGTTCTAGATGAGTTAGGGATTTCTCCTCGTATTTTCGTCCTTTTCTTGTACTACAGTGACCGAGATTTGTGCCCGCATAATATTGCAGCATTCCATTCTCATGTTAGCAGAGGGGTTTGATGGAAAACTTACATTTACAATCAGATGTTGAGGTCTCAAATTTGTTCAGACTTTTGGAAATACCTTTATCTGTGGAAATAACAGCGTTTGATGAATAGAGCACCCGGATTGAAATTTTCTGCACTATCGTGCTACGATACTACTTACTATTGGCATTTTCGCGATAAGCATGATTTGTGGATTTGCTAAAAGTGACGATTTTCAGACAAACCTTTACATACGCGGCCTGAGCCCAAGCACAACAGATGAGGATCTTCGAAAAATGTGTGCTCAGTACGGAACGATCACGTCTACAAAGGTGAGTTGAGATCATGCTCAACTTCTTACCGAAGCTTTTTCTATGTGTTAATTTGAATCACTTTCTTCATCATTGATTGAGTTAAGAATAGAAACACCTTGGTATTTCTCATTACGAAAAGTTTTATGTCTGTTTTGGGTCTACCTTTGTTGTGGTTCAATGGCATCAATCGTTATAGTCAGCTGCTATCTGCATTGAAGTATAAACCATAAGAGCGTATCTCACCAACACTTTAGATCAGTTTGACTTCGTAAAAATTGGTCCATCTGAGATACTTTGTTTGAACTTATCCAAACTTATCTTTCATTCAATCCACCATGTTCTTTTGCGGTATCTTGATACACTTTCTGTTTCTGAGAAAAAAATTTAGTTCCCTCATGTTGGTCAGTATTTAGCGCAATTGAGGGAGTCAGGTGGGTTAGCTGAGCATGTTGGAGTAGGGAGGAAGAGGGGGAAGAGGGGTCGGATTTGCCATTCATCCGATAGAGTCAAGTAAAATAGTAGTTTGCCCTGTGTCAGGTGTGTTGTTCTTTCGAAAAGATCTACCAGGGTTCTGTAAAGTGGATAATGACCACAATACTGTTTCCTTCAAAGCTCCTCTTGAGTATGTAACGGTGTTGAGTCTTGTCTTTCTGCCAAAACCAGGGGGAGTGTCCGACCCCTTAATCAGGATCATGATCTTGTTTGTTCGTTGATCGGGATGAAATTCTCGTGATTCATTGGATGTCGAGAAGTTCGAGTGAGCTTGTTTCGATTTCTGACAATTGCGGACAATTTTATTGCGTATAACTCAATATACGTGAAATTCTATCTAATTTCCTAATCATTCAAATGTTTGGGGGTGTAGCCGTTGAAGAAACCCTTTTGTTTTCAAACGCGCATGGAATTTTCGTTCTAAATGAGTAGTTTCTTAGGCGTTAAGAGGTTCTCCATTTCCGTCTTTTCCTTGCAGGCAATTATGGATAAAGCCCTAAATCAATGCAAAGGGTATGGTTTCGTCGACTTCGAAAGCCGCGAAGCCGCTTCACGAGCAGTTGAAATGTTAACTAAGAGTGGAATTCAAGCGCAGATGGCGAAGGTAATTATCGGTCATCCAATTCTATTCATGTGCGGAATGATTGTACTGCTTTTCTTCGTTATAGTGCTTTCATCTTATTTTGCGTTTAAGCAGCTTCAGCAGCAAGAACAAGATCCTACCAACCTTTACATTGCAAATCTACCGTCAAATTTCAACGAGCAAATGCTCGAGAGTGCGCTCAGTCCGTATGGTATGGTTATATCGACCAGGATTCTACGAAATGCTGACGGAAACTCTCGTGGTGTGGGATTTGCCAGAATGGACTCGAAGGCAAATACTTTTTGTAGTTATCAGTTGTTATCTTGACTCCTTTTAAATTTTCTTACCCTATAACTGTTTGGTTGTAGGAAAAGTGTGAAGAAATCATTGCCGCTTTGAATGGCAAACTGATCGAAGGTATGGATCCAAATGCAACGCCATTACTAGTAAAGCAAGCTGATACTGGTAGAAAGAACACTCGTAAGAGGAGCGATATGGGATTCGAACTGGGAATGTACCCAAGCCAGGTAAGTTGATGGAGTTGGCATTCGAATGTCGCCATTATAGCGAATGGTTTTCTTATTGCAGCCCTTCACAATGACAGCGCCACACGATTATATGAGAAACATGGGCGGAATGCCACAAATGTATCCGACACCTTATGTGAACTACAGCATGGGGTATCCTCAGCAAGTCACGGGATATACACGTATGTTTTGGTTTTCTATTCTATTATTTGTTCCCATTCGCCGGACGAGGATGAGTAAAGGCGAACTAGCTGGACAAGCTAGTTTGTTTGCTCTTTCTTGCATCATCACCATTTGATTGGTACCAGTTTAAGCCGGTAGAATAAATGGGTGGCTAGTAGAGCTGTATTTTTATGGGATTCAGGCATTTCCAGAACTTGTATCTAGGGATGATCAAACGTATTTTCTCTTTCGGTCGTTCTAGCTGCATTCCTTCATCTAGTCCTTTTTTATTTTATTTTTGTTGACTTCTTTACCCAGTCTTTCGGGCTAATCTCCCATAGGACAAGTGCAATTCCAGCTTATGATGTGAACGCAATGACCAGCCAAATGGGTGGAATGCAAATAGGAGGAGGAGGTCCACCATCAGCTCAAGATAACGGTGGATTGTATATGCTGCCACAGCAAGGATACTATGTGAATAGGAAGGTAATCGATGATCAGTTGACTTTAATAAAGCTTTTCCATGACCTTTTGTGAACCGTGGCTCCCACTGGTAACGAACCGGGTGTCAGAGTATTCGCCGAAATGGTTGTAAAAGGTTTCTATTTAGCAATATAATGGAGCAGGACAGTACGACGTAATGCAAGGTCCGTCTGGAAACGGAAACGGTCAGATGACAGCTATGGGGCATGTGGGACAGTATGCTCAACCTTGTGACGAAGACCCATACAGAAAGATGAATGGCGGTCAGGTGAGCGTCATTCTATAGGAAATATGAGTTGTTTGCTGCGATAATAAGTGCAATGTTGAATGTTAATAGCATTCCTGGAATACGTAAGGGTAGTGTCGTTCAAGGCATGGGTGAATTGGCCGCGTTGACTGGTAACTGATCAGTTTCGGGGATTCTAGCGTGGAAATATGCATTTTCGCTTTTTGCTTCTCAGGGCATGAGCCTAATTTTTTGTATTCTCATTATAAATAGTCCTTAAAAAAAACAGAAAAAAAAGTGGCTTTCAGTATTGAATGTTAGAAAATATGTTACAACCCGAGCACCAGAAAGAGAACAATTTTGGTGGAACCTAGCTTATTCCTCGGACTCTGCTGAGATTTGTGAACATTTTTTNTTTTTTCCTTTGGTGTAAATTTTATCGATTAAGTTTAGTTCTGGAGGAACAGTTTTGATTTGATCATCTTTGTTAAGTTGGACCATTTATTCTACTGATCAGAGGAATTTTTCTTCCTTAATTTTGTATGAATTAAAGTTGAGTGATTTGCTTTCTTTGCTGAATATCAAAGCATTACTCTTGCAAGGCTTATTTTCGAGTAATAAGCGCGCAAGAAAAGTAAGGCCTGACTTAGACAATTATTGCATGGAAACGGTGAAAATTTGAGTTGTCCAGGCGTAGCCGAAGAAGGCCAAAGCTGAGTACCCAATTCTTGTGTATTTAGGTGTATCTAGAATGTTTATTTCCATGCAGTCGTTCTAATAGTGATACTTTTAGGGGCAACTGCAGTAACTTAAACGATGTCCTACAAGTGTAGACTGCTATTTTCTCGATGGTCTCATCGGCAATTTATTCATTGTATCGTATAGGAATTGATGGTTTTGTCACACAGAGAGCATTATCCCGTGTTGTGGTCCCCTTGTCACGGCCTTCGGAATAGACACTTGAAGAATCAGCTCATATTTATCCATGTTGGTAGCGGTCGCGTGTGTGCTAGAGCTTCGTCGCATACCGTGTATTGCGTTGTTGTTGTCCATATGTGCTGCGCGCCACTCATCATGTCACGATATACGCATATATTTAACCGATTTCATGTCTATACTACTAACTTGTTGGCAGACATATGCTGTTGCTCTCCTGTTGTTTCATCGCTCCAAGTCCTTATTCCCCATTCATACCGTCCTTGTACATGAAAAACTGGTATAGCGGGCCAGCTCAGCAGAGAAAAAGAGAGAGAATCTTCGAAAGTGTTAACCCATACAAGAGTGTCCGACGCAGTTCGCCGACACTGACAGTGTCATCAACTGTATAGATTGTTGTTCCATACATACTTCTACTTGAATTCTTCTTCTTCTTCTTTTCGTGAAGTGTTACTTTGTACTCCCTTCATCATAGTTTTGTGTCGTGTTCGTTGTGTTACATACTCATCTTCTGTGTGTTTCCTTTGTATGTTTCCCAGCACCTCAATCTCCTCATAGTTACCATAAAGGATACGTCTGGGTCGAACCCTGCGCGCACTGTCATGACTTATTCGAAGACCCAGGCGTGACGTTGGCACACGCATACGCCGTCTTTGTCGTCTTGGTTTGTTTTCCCTTCTTTTTTTAACCAGATTTCATGTCCTATTTTTTGGATTGTTTCCCGTTTTTTGTCACATTCTAGCCCTCGAATTGCACAACACGATTACGCGCTGTTTTTCTTCGTTTTCTTTTTTTGTCCTCCATATTGCGGAGCAATTGTACACTTCCCTTGCCTTGTTGTGCCTTGGCTCTTACAATTTCGCTCTCTGTTTGAATAATAAGTTCCGGATTTTACATTTTTTTTTCCTTGGGAGAGTATCTATGATGACCACCTATTGTCCTGAAATGTAGTAGTTCACATCCGTCATGTTTACACATTCACAGAGTTCTCAAAATGATTTCATATGTTGTAAATAAAGACAAGAAATAAAACATGAACGGAAGTCATTGGTATTTATGTTTACGGCTCATTTTTTTGATTATCACAGCAATTTCCCATCGTGTTTAACGAAGGCGATAATGTAGGCCTTGGATACCCTACATAATTACGTGAAAAGTGAGATGGGTAAGTAAAGTGCGTAGGTATCCAAGTTTTCATAGAAGGAATAATTTGGGTTCGATTAATCTTTTAATCGGTATTAGTACTAATAGTGAAGTACGAAAGTGTAACTGTAGGCAAGTCTAAATGTGGATTAGGTCGATATCTCGAGGGAAGAGCATGAAAAATTTTAGTAATGGGAAAGTCCCCTGAATTCTGGAGAGGTTGACGACAACTAACGAGGTTAAGGCAAGGGTTATCTCACAACACGAATAAAGCTGTGTGTAAGGTGCCCAAATTGGGGGCCGTTTGCCAAATTTTGCCCTACCTCTGGTTGTATTTCACATCTGGACAGGTTTGGCAAAATGCCAGACTTAGCGATCATCGTCAACATACGCAGATGCCAGAGGTCTTTCGAAGCTTTCGAGAATTCCTTTATGGCAACGAAAGAGAGATCTCGAACTCCCGCATGTATATCCTCTACAGTATTAAGGAGGAGACGGGACTTCCCATGAGTACAGCCAATGTGGCCAACATGGATTACCAGTCTATTGAGCAGAACTGTGTAGAAAAAAAGAGATATGAAATTTTTAGTCAATCAGGAAAGAATTGGAAAGAAGAATGCCTCAAAAACACAAATGAGCTAGGGTGTCATATAAGGTTAGCCTTTATAGAGTAATTTTTGTTGAAGACCAGTTACAGCTGATGCTGGCCGGTTACTACGTAATTACAGCCCCTCTATGGATTACATATTTGCCCTGGGGTTCCGAACTTCAGAAGCTAGGACTGTCGAGACGTCTGGCCGGATAATCGCAAATTGCAACCATCCTTCTGAATGGAACGTCAGTCCATCATAGCTTAGATACTATACGAAGTGTTCAGGGAAGGAACTTCCCAATACAACAGATGAACCGAGGTTCGTAGAGAGCCGCACGTAGCAGTCCTAGTGTTTTATCCAAGAATACTCGAGAATCTAATGGAACTCTCACGAACTTTTAACTACGCTGATGCCTGATTCAGAAACTTCTACTGGACTCTGCCGTTGTTCAGTTTCGGGTCATAGTATGAGCACAAAATTCCTCTACGGCAATGCTTGCGACCAGCCTATGGGTGCAGAACATCATACTCTACCCCGCGCAGAGTCGCCCTCAGTAGAGGGAAGACGTACCAATGAAATCGAAACAGCCGTTTACTATCATGTGAGACTCACCATTACCAAATTGCTACGGAGGAAGTGTCAGTGCTGGCCATTGAAAGACAAGCTCGAAACGAGGAATGCTTTCCGGAATTGTTGGTCCAGGTGTTTGTTGTAGACAGTTACTCTTCTCCCCAATTTTGACTTCAATTCAATTCTGTAAAAGAGGTTAGTTTGTAATTCGAAAATCAGCTAGAAAAATAGATAGTCGTTGGTACAAAGCTCCCACAGCATCCTGGAGAAGGGACAACAAATAATTGGGCTAAAGTAAGTTTTACCCTATCCCTACTCCCCATTTTTCCTAAGCCCCTTTTGCAAGCTGCTTTATACATGTAGGTATAGATCATGAGCACCACTGTCCTACGATGCTTCACCAATCGTAGGTCAAATAAAAATTATTGTCCGAGATCAAGCTTCAGACTGAGAGCCTCCTGAATCAAGGACTGAGGAGCACATATGCAAACCTCCTACGAAAGGAGTGGGATTAGGCGCTTGAAATCACGGAACCGCCTTATTATTTAAGTAATTGAGCCCAAGGAAGCCTATCATAACAACGTCGACGTCTAGCGGTTGCCGTGCTCCAACGCGAATCCGAATTCGCAGTTTAAATCGCGCGCCTCACTATACGCCACACGTTCAATGGGTGTACGGTCACCTAAATGAAATTTTGGGCCTAAAATTCGTGGAGGGGCAGTCATTTGTAACTTCTCTTTCGTCTTTTATGATTCTTTTCGTTTCGTGCGGTAGTTCAATAGGTGGAGTCATTGTGGCCACTATGTGTATGTATGTTGTTGTTATTGTTGTTGGTCATGTTGTTTCCGTGAGGATCATCCTGAGTAAAGACTAAAAATAGCAGCACCTTTCCAAGGTGGCTCGAAATGAAGTTTGCAGTGGGCCGTGTTGATTATTGTCCGTACGTTAATTTTTTGATGGATGCTGTGGAACTGTTTTGCCTCAGTTGAACAGCAGTGTCATTCTACTCTAATGAGAATAGTTCTTTGAAACTCATAGGATGTTTCTTCCGTTCTCATACTTTGTACCGTTCACTATTGAATTTGATTCGTGCTTTCTACCAGCTCTCTTTCAGGGTAAAAATGTCGCACCGTAAGTTTTCGGCGCCAAGGCACGGTTCCATGGCTTTTACGCCTAAGAAGCGATCCAGGACGTATCGAGGAAGAATAAAGGCCTTCCCAAAAGATGATCCATCTAAGCCAATTCATCTCACCGCGTTCCTTGGCTACAAGGCTGGCATGACCCACATCGTCCGTGATGTAAGTTCTCCATCATTTGTTCTTTTTTGTCGAGTGGACTTAGTCCTGATGGCCGTTTCCCCTAAAAAGCACGGTGCAAAAATGCTGACGGAGCCTTTTCATGCGCACGGTATTGACAATGTGCTCATCATGCATAATTTCTAGCTCTTTGGAAGATATGATGCTATACTCGCGGTAATAACGCAGACCGTTGAAGCAGCATTGGGTTATTGCAGATTTTGTTGTGTCCAAAGCAAAAATTGGTGTGCAGTGTCTCTTTGCCTGGTGATGCTTTGGGAAAAGTTTTGTAGGAGCGCAGAAGATTTAGTTCCTATTTTTTGCGAGGTGTCCTGAAGTGAATTGGATATTGTTCACATAAATATTCAGAAGAAAGACCCAATTTCCAGGTCGATAAGCCAGGATCAAAGGTGAACAAGAAGGAGGTTGTTGAGGCAGTTACGATCATTGAAACCCCACCGATGGTTATTGTTGGCATCGTTGGCTACATTGATACACCTCGCGGTCCTCGTGCATTCAAATCCGTCTTCGCCGAGCACCTCAGTGAGGATTGCCGTCGTCGTTTCTACAAGAACTGGTTAGTGTTAATCATTCTCTTTGTTTAGTAGTCTTTGAAGTGGTTACTTCCAGTGGGCAGTTTGTGTCATTCATTCATCTCCTCTGTACTACTATGTACATGAGTATGATTGTTTGTCAAGTTCTGATGATACCCTTCCTCTGCTCTCAGAGCATGAAGGGATTTGAACTTGTTGTGACATACGCTACTACCTAAGAGGTACTGCGTCGTCACAGAGGGTTCGATAATTCATCTATAGGTGCAAGTCCAAGAAGAAGGCCTTCACCAAGTACACAAAGAAATGGATGGATGAGGACGGTAAGAAGGCGATCGAGTCCGACCTTAACAAGATGAAGAAGTACTGCTCCTCAATTCGTGTTGTTGCTCACACTCAGGTAAGCGTGGAAGAGAGGGAAGCCTTTGACAGGTCTATCCGTTGTTGTTTAGATGAAGATCCTCAACCGTAAGCAAAAGAAAGCCCATCTCGTCGAGATTCAAATCAATGGTGGAACCATTGCTGAGAAGGTGGACTGGGCCAAGGATCATCTCGAGAAGCAGGTCCCCATCGACACTGTGTTCTCCCAGGATGAAATGATTGACACTATTGGTGTTACCAAGGGTCATGGATTCAAGGGTGTCACAAGCAGATGGGGAACCAAGAAGCTTCCTCGTAAGACCCACAAGGGTCTCCGAAAGGTGAGGAGTGTTTCTTCTTTTTTACAGTGCTGGAATTCCATTTAACATTTAAGGTCGCTTGTATTGGAGCGTGGCATCCTTCTCGAGTTGCCTTCACCGTTGCTCGAGCTGGTCAGAAAGGATACCACCACCGTACTCACATCAACAACAAAATCTACAGGATCGGACGGTCGTGCCTCACACCGGAGGGCAAGAACAATGGAGCCACTGAATTCGATCTCACCGAAAAGAGCATTAATCCTATGGTTTGTTTTCATGACTTGTCTCTCCCCGTTTTTGCACATCCTGTGATGAGAAAGTCTGCAATTCCTAATACCTGATGGAAAAATGTGAATTCTGAGGATGTTGTTTGGAAGCACTCGTTGTTACTCTTAGTAACCCTTATTAACTCATTGTTCTTCAGGGTGGCTTCCCTCGCTACGGTCTTGTGAACCAGGATTACGTTATGCTCCGTGGTGCCGTCCTTGGACCTAAGAAGCGTCTGATTACCCTAAGAAAATCCCTTGTTGTCCAAACTAAGAGATTCGCACATGAGAAGATAAACATGAAGTGGATCGATACCAGCTCCAAGACTGGACACGGACGATTCCAAACTACAGCTGAGAAGAAAGCATTCATGGGCAAGCTTAAGAAGGATTTCCTTGCTGAGAGCAAAGCCTAGATTTGTTATATTTTTAAAAATAAATTTGTTGGTTGTTATTTCTCATGCGGTTTTTTACACACACCCCATAAACTATTTTTCACATTGAACTTCACGAAATCGCAATTGGCACAAATCAAAAAGATTAGCTTGAGTTGATTAATGTTCGTTCACCAGATGGCACCCATAATATTGTTCAGTCCATTTGTAGTGGTACAAATATTCGATGGTCAGTATCTCACGGGAAGCTCGCATTCGTCTTACTCCAGTGCGGTTATGGAAGTGTTTCAACGTTACGGAATTGTTGGTTGATGCTGATGCAGAGCAATTATGATTCCATCACCTATTGCCCTTAATTTGAGGGCTCAAAGTCTCCATTCCTTCATTTGGTCCGGGAGGCACTTCAAACTACGATTTATCATCCACAGCATTTATTAGCTCCAATAATTATAGGGTTTACTGAGTTGAGTATGTGGAGCGCCTCAACTCGTTCAGTTGGCTCATCAAGCTGTTCGCCTTAATATGTATGGAAGGCAGTGGTTCTCAACAAAACAGAAAGGAAAAATGATTCTCGAAACTTGCGAGTAATAATTATTTTGGGAATAAAAGATATAGAAAGCATGGGGGCATACGTTCAAGCTGAACCTTTAGCGTTGGTAACAAAAAGCTAGCGATTTGTGGCTTGGTACTCACCGATCTTCGCTGTTCTTTTCTCTCTAACGACGACAATCAAGGAGTCTATTTGTTTGATGGAAACATTCAAGGCGCAAACTCGTCTGTTCTTGAACGTTCTAATTACTCGTTCTCTAGCTTTCGTATAAGCGCGCTCTCATCCTCTATCCGTCGTGATTTTGGTTAGATGGTCAAATAAACAAGCATTGTTGCCCCAAAGAAAAAAAGTTCTTGAAAATATCCTCCTAAGCAGACCCCTCGACTGTTACGCTCGATACAAAACTAAAGGTGCAGGGTTCGAAATCCATCTAATCCAGTTTTTTCTACCACCTTTTTTAGCTAAACTGTTTAGGCCGTCTGAGGATCAAAGGAGAATATGGGTCCCGTTATACAAAACACACTATTAATATTCAGAGGATATTATTTGACTGCTTACAAGATGTCGAGGATGAAGGAATAGGTAAGTCGACTACTGATGATGAACCTCCTTCGGATACTTAGGCTATAACATATTAGGTTGTAAGGAAAGTTCTGGCCGTTTTGACAGCTAACTTTTAAAAAGTTATAACTCATCTCAAAGTGAACATTTTTATTCAAAATAAGCCCCATTCGATTCCACACATTTTCGCCAACGTGATACAAGTCTATTTATCCCATTCTTATAAAAGTCCGGAGATCTGGATTCCAAGATCT